TTCTTCAAAGTCGGGTTTCTCTTCAGAAACCACATAGTAGATTTTCAGGAGTTGCATCCCAAAGATCACTTTCCGACGTCATGTGTTAAAGTTAGATCTCTCAAAATTCTCTAACTTGAGACAGTCCACTCCAAGAGTCCTCGCAGGATCCATGATAGATCAGAAATATTGTTTTAAGATTGTTGGAGATTGTGGTTAAATCTAGAATAAAACAGTGAAAGTTAATGTGCTGTAATTTTAAACTTTTTAAGTTAACTGTTATGCGTTTGTAAAAAACTATGCTTAAAGCAATATTTGGCCTACTCTGGTGTAAGGATCACAAGGTCAAACTGCTTCCAGGAACAGTACAATACAATGGTATGCACCAACCAAGTATTATCAAGATCTCCTTGATCTATAAGATATTTCGGTCAAGGCAAAGATCTCATCGATCTCTTAAACCTTTCGGTTTAGGCAAAAATCCTTCGGGCACAGGCTCTGCAGCAGCAGCACAACAGTTCCTTCAGGCACATGCTTTGCACTAGCAGCAACACAACAGCTCAATGTATTTTCGTGTGTATACAAGACTCTCCAAGAGCTGCCCCCAAGAGGCACTATTTATAGGCCTCCAATGCCAGCTCAAGAGTCACCTACAATCAATGTGACTGTTACAAACCATTATGATTGTAACAGCAATTGATTTAAATGTTGTTGTAATTGTTGCATGCAGTAATGCCTGAACGTGAATGTCGCGTTGCACCTTGCAGCGAATATGACGAACCTCGTCGATCGGGCGAACCTCGTCAAACAAACGAGTTCCGTAAATCAGACGAACCTCGTCAATAAGACGAACTTCGTTGAACGGGCGAATCTCATCAGACGGGTCAATCAAACGAGTCTCGCAAATCAGACGAACCTCGTTGGCGAACCTCGTCAAACAAACGAGTTTCGCAAATCATACGAACCTCGTCAAACGGGCAAACCTCATCAAATGGGTCAATCAAACGAGTCTCGCAAATCAGATAAATCTCGTTAGTAAGATGAACCTTGTCAAATAAAGGAGCGTCGTCTGATCTCGAGAATGCTAGGGTCGTACCATCGTGCGAATGCGAAGCTCGTCTGCATGCTGCAAAGCAGCCTGCGAGGCAACCTTCCTGGCGGCCATAGTGACAGCCAACGTGGCGCCAAAGGGTGCTACCTAGCCCTGATGCCTCCGTACGAAGTGCAAAGTACGCCTTACAAAGCGCCACATAGCGCCTCAGCCCGATTAACCCTGATCCCCTGCCCATTGGTCCACGGACCACGAGCCCACGACCCACTAGAACTTATGAGGGATTAATTAAAACAAAACAATTCTTGGCTTGCCGTTGGCAAGCCTCGAACATAGGACCTTTTGAAACACCAAAACTTTTACTTTCCACTAGTATATATATATATATATATATTTGAAAACTCATTTTGAAAAACAGTTTTGACCAAAAATTCCAACAATTGGAACCCTTGCAACTATGTTGTGATTGTGTCAAGCACGAAAATTAACACTTGTGCTTGTAAGGGGCTGTTTGGTTGTATGTTTTTATCACGTAAAATGATGGAAAGTGTAAAAAAGTGGGTCCAAATGTCAACTTTCATCACTTTCAATTGTTTGTTTGTAGTTGTGAAAATAGTGTAAAGTGATTTCATATGCTGATATGGCTTGTAAAGTGATTTCATAAAAAAAAGACATGATTTTAGGATAAAGCTGACATTGAAATCAGGAAAAAATAATAAAAAATAATTCCAGCCAATATGATCATTTGTGTAGGGACCACTTTTTATACTTTCCAAACAAACAATTAAAGTTACATTTGCAAACCAAACAAGCAATTTAACTTTCCAAACAAACAATTAAAGTTACATTTGCAAACCAAACAAGCAATTTATGATTCCAATGTAATAAAAAACAAACAAAGAAAAGTATAAATTTGCAAACCAAACAAGCAATTTATGATTCCAATGTAATAAAAAACAAACAAAGAAAAGTATAAAAGTGAAATTGATGAGGTGGACAACAGTTTTCCAAATTGTGTCATAAATACACAAATTTACCAACAACAACGAAACAGCCCCTAAGCATGTCACAGCAGTGGTCCAAAAGGAGGGTTATCTCACTGGTGTATGTGAAAATCCCTCGAAAAGCGGAACAAAATGCGGGAGTAAGCTCTCTTCCCTTTGTCTGTTAGATACTTACATTATAAATTAAACAACATC